TTATCATTGTAATCTGTGTGTCAGCATTATTTTGGCATTTGACTTATGTTGGTCTGTACTAGCATTGATGATTTAATTCTTCCTGGAATTTGTAACTTCTTACATTTGAATTCAGAAGATGATCATCTATGTGCTGCACAACTTTGATAAATTTCATTGTTTTGTGGATCGTATTGAATCTCATTGGTCCTTCTGCACCTTTAATGACACTTGTTCTTTGGGTAGTGATTTATCATTACAAATTTTGTCGCTCGGGAATTTATGACGTTAAGTGTGACTACTTTACAAAACACATTGAATCTGAAAGTTGGGCAACTCATCCTATGGTTTTGGTGTGACATGCCCATTTCTACAATGCTACAACAAGCCATGTCATTGATTGTTTATGTTTAGTATTTTGTTCTCATCCACTTACAAAAGGGCAATATTTTTTTGGCGTTGATGTTTGTTAGCCCATCCTTTTTGCCTATTGTGTTTTATGTTCTATCAAAGTAGATCCGACATATTCTTTTTAAGGAAATTCACATACATACCACACAATTTTCATACATTCGCATACCCAACACCCAAATTTCAATGCTTACATACATACCACTTGATTCATATATGTTTGCATATCTAGCTTCATGTTTTTTCTCTTTACATTTATACCACCCGAATCTTTGCTTATACATAAGAGGGAGCTCCATTGCTTAGTGAGAAGGATATCTTTGCATGCTTGGGGTTTATGTACTATTTTTTGGAGTCATTTCAGATGCCGATTTGGGCTGGTTTAGGCACTATTTTGGAGTCATTTGGGTGCCGATTTGACTGGCTTATGCACTGTTTTTGGAGTCATTTCAGGTGTCGATTTGGCAGGTTTATGCACTGTTTTTGGAGTCATTTCAAGTGCCGATTTTAGGCTGATTTGGGATCTGTGTATTCGCTATTTTGGAGGAGATTTTTGGGCAGATTTCTTGGCTGATTGCCTATTGTTTGGAGCTGTTTGAAAGTGCTGTCGTGGGCTGCAATTTTTGGGGCCGTTTGGCGGCTTGTGGGCTGCACATTTTGTGCCCTTTTGGCGGCTTGTGGGCCGCACTTTTTTGGGTCCGCTTGGTGGTTTGGGGGATGCACTTTTTGGTTTCGTTCTATGGCTTTTGGGCTGCATTTTTTTAGTCTATTTGGTGGTTTTTGGACTACATTTTTATGCTAAATTGGAGAACTTTTGGGCCGATCAAAACACTGCCTTGGAATAGATTCAAATATTCTACTCGGGGGTCGATTTTATTACAGTTGTTGAAAGAATTTAATTGCTTTTAAAGGGGTCGATTTAATTACAGTTGTTGAAAGAATTTAATTGCTTTTAAACCGATTCACTTGTTGTTTCCCCCCTTGGTTTTGCTAGTTTTGAAAGTGGGTCGGCCTTCACCTTTCTTTTGTTTTATTTCTTTTATTAAAAGATTAAGTTAAAATGAGAATTTCTGATTTAATTATTTGAAAAACACTTAAAGATATTTGAGGATTAGTTGGAAAACACTTAATTGAGGGTAAACCTACTTCAAGCTCAGGTTAAAATGTAGGTTTTCTAGATTTTATGAGCACACCCTAGGTGGAAGTTCATCTACCTAATTTTCGAATGAATGATGAAACTAGACATTTGACCTTAATCCGTAAATTAGTTAAAACAATAAACATGAGGATGCACTAAGACATGGTTCATGACTTTCGTAATTAAATCAATTATTGAAACTCTCGCCATAACTTAACCCACAATGAAACCCAATGTTCTGGGATTCGAGCTTGAATCTTACACTCAAATCCTCCTTACAACCGGAGACATCCATAATGCCATATATAAATCACATACTTCTGGTTCTTTATACGTGTGTTTTTTTTCTAAGATTTGTATAGATTTTCTTGTACCAGATTTTATAGCAATTCATTTAAGCTTTTCTACACATTACTATATTGTGTTTATTGCACTAATATTTTTGCAGCTAGCAGAGGCCTAGGTACAGAATTCATTTTATCTTTATAGCGCTTTACTACATTTTTTTTATTGTCCTTTACTGCACTTTACTGTTCTCTTTATTGGATTATTTACTTTACAAAATTTGCTAAACCCCTCGGGTAGAGAACAATAGGACACATATTAGGAGGTATCCTACGGCAGGCCCTCAGACCCAACCATTACACGTACACTTAAACCATATACCCATAACTCCTACATGGAGCTCGTAGCAAACTCCATGGGCAGCACAATGAGGAGCATGAAGCAAGCTACAAGCGGAGGTGATTGACGTTCTACAACAGCAAATCAAATTTGAGGTGGCTCGCCCAACGCGACGTAAATTCTCACACACTCTTTAAGCTTCTGTGCAATCGTGTTGTGCAGTATAAGTCCTAATTCGTCTTATGTTTTGAGGTGTCGTTCAGTACGACGTAAACCCTCCTATTTCTACGGATTATTTGTATAATTAAGTATTATGCAAGTATAAGTCCCAATTAATAAAATTGACAGGATTGAACACTTAAATAACATCGTCTCCAAAACACAATCACAGTAGGATAGTTTGAGAAGTCATTGAGGGATTTCCTCAGGAGCTATGACGTCCCCTATCTTTTTCTTTTTTTGGAATTCTGAAATAATTGCTCCCATTTGGTCCTTTCCCACTTGATTTTTCGCGTTCTACCTTGAAAACGTAAACCTTGAATTCTTGAAGACTAGTACCTCTGATCGTTATCGAGAGTTTTCTCAAGTGATCTCGGTCATTTGAGATCTAATTAGCTGTAGGGGCTTGTCTCTATAAGGAACTTGGAACTCCGGTAAAATAAACCCTATTTAATCTTTATATTAGGTAGAGAAACTTATCGGTCACACATAAAATGTTCGTAGGCCAAAGGAATGTTACAAATCTTTTAGTTTGTATGATTGGGTTCATTGCCGAGACATATACTTATCTTTCAGGAATGTGTACTATTTGCGGTATCAGACACGATTATGTAAGTTATTAGATGAATGAGATCCATTTGATCTCATTTTTCCAAATTAAAAGACACTTTTTTCAAAACAAAAAAAATATTATATATACCTTTTATATTAAATTAAATTTAAAATTTATTTTCAAAATAAAAAAGTTTGCCGACATCCATAGATTACAAAATTGCATTTTTTATTATTAATTGTATGTTAATAATCAGTCTTTCCC